TCAATCATGTACGTGATTTGTGATACAGTACGGAAACACCCATCTCCTTAGAAAGATAATATGAACTCTAACGCACTCACTGCTAACTTCTTGTCTTCAACTCTTTGCTGTAACCTAACGTTACCTACACCAAAAGCAGTAGAACACTATTTTAAACGTTCCTCTACAGCCTTTAAGCTCCTTTAACAATAGTCAATTATAATTTAGAATGGCGATGTGACTATGGGTGCAAAACCTTAATCTGTTGAGGGCCCCTCCTTGTGTAACATAGCGGATATTTGAGTCAATCATCCACCCATCACGAACAACTGATGGCAAAAGTTCTTTCACGTTTATGGAAAGAATAATAATAATACCGTCTGAAAATTGGATTCCTCAGCAGTTATGAAAAGCGAGTGGAGCCCAGAACCCGAGCATGACCAATGCGAAGTTTGCGAAACCATAGACTTGCTCGGAAGTCGACCCCTCAAAAGTTCTCGATTGAGCTGAACAGTCTCCAAAGCAGCCTGCGTGGCGGGCTCCGTTTTTTTCAGGGCGAAAGAAGAAATCTCAAGGAGGGTATCTCCAAAGCAAGCGAAAGTGGCGCGGCGGCCAAGCGAGCGACGATGTCGCATGGCCCAACCCAACGAGTAAAAAAAAAAAGGACTTTGAGAAAGTCTGGAGAAACCAAGACTTTATTCATTTATCATACCAATGATTATAAGAAAAGCCCAGAAATGAATACCTTTTTATGCCAAGAATGAACTCAAAGAGTGAAAATACCATCATCATCTTGTTACTGTATAACAAAAGAGGACACTAAAGAAAAATCTTAAAATAGAAATGTCACATCACAAACGAGAAAAGGTGTCAATCATCTTTATCTCGTAGTGCAGTGAGTTAAAAAGAATATTGGCTCATTGAGTCGATATTGAGTCTCCAAAAGCCATAGCTAATGAGATTAGCGAAGTACAACAATACAACTCCTCAAGCGTACGTGTCTAAGGTAAAAGTTCCTATTGTAACGCTTACTTCGTGCCCTGGTAAGGTTTGCGTGACTCGACTCAGGAAATACGTCATTAATATGTTTGTCCACTGGTATAGCGTGATCTTGTAAAATGGTTGGTTAACATGACATGCAGTTTCAGAAAAACTTGGCTTTCCCTTTAACAAGACCACAGTTATGAACTGAAACACACACTACCAACTCCGCCGAAACTCCGCCGTATCGCCGGTACCTTACGCATGCGCAAACCTATTCATCTGAAACAAAGAAAAAATGATTTTGCTCAAAGTAGTTCAACATTCATCGCCACATGTTCGTGGGTTTCGTGACGTCAGATTTATGAAACACGCATATGAGTCCGCCCAAACGCAAAAGAATCTTTTCCTTTTTTTTCTCTATATAATTCTTTTTTTTTTTTTTTTGCTTTTCATTGGCTTTTTAACCCATTTACTCCTAGACCAAGCACATTGCCAAGTGACTAGGTATTTGTCACTCTAACTTTCGAACTTGTGGATAACATCCTGACTTTAAGTGTCACGACTTATATCACTTATGTGACCCGGATAGTGTGTGGCCGGGTATCAGGTCTGAACTGGTGACCCGTACGTGTTGGAATAAAGAAGAAGAATTAATTCCTTGCCTTGTGCAACTCATGTACAGCAATCTTGTCCTTCCTGCTGGCAGGCGAGGAAATAATTCAGATGTTGTAGTGGAATTTTATAACTTAGCAATGCTATTAAAAAGATTTACCAAAGTGAAACCTAACATGAAGATGACATCACTGATCGATAAATTAAATGAACCTCGTTAGATATAATTCAGCCATAGGTAATCTTATACAGTGTGCGGAGAATTCAATGGGATTCATCGGGGAGGTCAAAATCCACCCAAATGCTTTTCAGCAGCTGTATACATGGAAGTAAAAGAATATTGTAAGTGTTAAACAAGACTGCGGAAGGCGATGTTTAGTTCCGTGTAAATTTCCTCTTAATAGAAGCCCTGAGTTATTTCTTGAACTGACAAACAATTCAAACACATAAGCATTACTATGTAACGGCTTTGGTATGAGGAAGTTATTACACCAAACCATTCGAAATTTTCCCTGCCGCCTTCCGTCAGGGTGACTTAGTGATCCGGTTATATTGTTCGTGCATGAGTTGAAAACCAATTTCATTTTCATTGTACCAATTATTTCTGTTGTAGTGTCTACTGTCTGCCCCAGGGTTGTACGGTCTGAGAAGACATCGTGAGTCTTTCCTCGTTCGTTGCGATTTCTCGTTGATGTTTTTTTTATTATACTTAGAGGCTTAACGCGAACCTGCTGTGTTAAATAACACCCATCTAAAAGAAAATGCTGACTTTGAATAATTCTAAAATTGACAACAATTTGGTAAGATAACAATATTTAATTCCCACAAGAACACAAACTGGAACGTGTGTGCTCTTTATAAGAATAACTTGACAAATTGACATCCTTTTTCTTTCAAGGAAACTCAATCATGTACGTGATTTGTGATACAAAGCGGAAACACCCATTCTTCTTAGAAAGATAATATGAACTCTCACGCACTCACTGCTAACTTCTTGTCTTCAACTCTTTGATGTAACCTAACGTTACCTACACCAAAAGCAATAGAACGCTATTTTAAACGTTACTCGACAGCCTTTAAGCTCCTTTAACAATAGTCAATTATAATTTAGAATGGCGATGTGACTATGGGTGCAAAACCTTAATCTGTTGAGGGCCCCCCTCCTTGCGTAACATAGCGGATTTGAGTCAATCATCCACCCATCTTCAACAACTGATGGCAAAAGTTCTTTCACGTTTATGAAAACATAATAATAATACGGTCTGAAAATTGGATTCCTCAGCAGTCAAGAAACGCGAGTGGAGCCCAGAACCCGAGTATGACCAATGCAAAGTTTGCGAAATAATAGACCTGCTCCAAGTCGACCCCTCAAAAGTTCTCGATAGAGCTGAACAGTCTCCAAAGAAGCCTGCGTGGCGGGCTCCGTTTTTTCAGGGCGAAGGAAGAAATCTCAAGGAGGGTATCTCCAAAGCAAGAAAAGGTGGCGCAGCGGCTAAGCGAGAGACGATGTCGCATGGCACAACCTAACGAGTTAAAAAAAAAAAAAAAAAAAAAAAAAGAATTTTGAAGAAGCGAAAAAAATAAAAAATAAAAAAAATTAAAAACTAAAATAACAGAGAAGAGACAAAACAAAAAAAAAAAATTAAGATGAAAAATAAATAATACCAATAGAAAAACAACAACTATAATTTCACTNAGTTCTTTCACGTTTATGAAAACATAATAATAATACGGTCTGAAAATTGGATTCCTCAGCAGTCAAGAAACGCGAGTGGAGCCCAGAACCCGAGTATGACCAATGCAAAGTTTGCGAAATAATAGACCTGCTCCAAGTCGACCCCTCAAAAGTTCTCGATAGAGCTGAACAGTCTCCAAAGAAGCCTGCGTGGCGGGCTCCGTTTTTTCAGGGCGAAGGAAGAAATCTCAAGGAGGGGATCACCAAAAGAAGAAAAGGGGGCGCAGCGGCTAAGCGAGAGACGATTTCCCAAGGCCCAACCCAACAAAAAAAAAAAAAAAAAAAAAAAAAAAAGAATTTTGAGAAAGTCTGGACGACCGAGACTTTATTCATTTATCATACCAATGATTATAAGAAAAGCCCAGAAATGAATACCTTTTTATGCCAAGAATGAACTCAAAGAGTGAAAATACCATCATAATCTTGTTACTGTATAACAAAAGACGACTGCGTTGAGGACACTAAAGAAAAATCTTAAAATAGAAATGTTACATCACAAACGATAAAAAGGTGTCAATCATCTTTATCTCGTAGTGTCCTTGTGCCGTTAAAAAGAATATTGGGTTCCTTTTTTTCCGAGTTTTATTAAAGGAATCAATATCACACTTTTTTTATTCGGGCATTCCTAAACAGACGGTAGGATAAATGTTCAAAATCAAGGTCCTTTCGCTAAAAGAAAGGTTTGTCTAAATTCAAGCTGTGATTTGTTAATGTAAAGGGTCATGACAGATTAACTTGTGTCCATTAAAGTCAGTATGAAAGAAGAATTTCCTAGCCGCTATCACAGAATATAAAAAACCATTTAAAGCATCTCTTTTCGTTTAGTGTGATGCATAAAATTGTTTAATTATTATTATTATTTTTTTTAAGTTCAAGACTGATCTACCATACAGTTTCTGTTAAAGTCCGTGGCCTGAAGGGTCCGAGTGTTAATTGGCTTTATTCAGTACTTGACTTTTTAACTTTGCCCGGCTGTTGGACCAAATAATTAAAAGAAGCGCCCCACCATATTCAATCCCGTGAATAAATCAGTAACAATATCGTTATCGCTTAACGTTAATACAAGTACATAAGGGAAAAAACAAAAATAGTGGCCAGGCCAATGGCAAAATTATGAATATAAATGCTTTGATGAGTTTGTTAATCTTTTTGCTAAGCAAATTATTGATTAAGTTCATGTTTCGGACATCCTTCAAAATTACAGTGTCATTGTGACCGGATACCAAAATTATTTTCGTGAACAGAGATAATACCGGCTTATGATGCGGAACGTTCTCTCGGAAATGACTCTGCTGCGTTTTAGTCACGGCCGGCGTTACTAAACACGGGGCAATATCTTTTCTCCCTAAGGTCAAAAATCTCTGCTACTCTAGGCTTGGAAAAAGTCGATTAATAAATATTTGTCAATGTTTAAAAGTGTATTTGTATCCCTTGGACGATTTTCCAAATCCAGCCATCAGATTTAACAAGTGCAATTTGATTGGCACTAAAAATTATTCATCCTGTATTGAATGACACATTACGTCAGAGCTGACGCACATATTTCCAAATATGCAAAAAGTTTCACGTATCAAAAAAAATCTAACCGTATAAAACGTGGGTTTCATCGTTCAACTAGCCATCATTCTGAGTGAAGGCCACGGACGAAGCGAGAAATCTTCAGAGTATAGAACCGGCAAACTAAACTAACATGAGTCTCAGCAAGTTTAACTCAGTGTTAAGAATTTGCATACGAAACTACGGTTTCACGGCGATTCGACGGGACTATGGACCTGAAGCTGTGGAAAAACTCCGTGGCTCTCTGACGATTGAGCAAACGTTAGCCAGAAGAGGAGCAGAAAGACTTAAGCAGCTGATATGCAGCGGAGAAGGAGACTCGTATGTTAACGCACTGGGCGCCATGACAGGTTAGATAAGTTAAAGTCGTAACAAAAGACAACTATATATTTGAAAAGATTGCGGCTTTTAATAAATACTTAACTAAACTAAACTAAACCTAACGTAACTTAACATAGCTTAACGGTTTCTTAAAAACATAGACAAGTACGAACGATATTAAGTCCAAGTGTTCGGCATTATTAAGGTAAATTATATACAAAATGTAAATTGCAACAAGAGATTTATGCAAGAAGTTGCCAAGGAAACTAGAAGGTTTATTTTTTGCGGAAAATCAAGTTCGGCAACTCTAGGTGTTACGAAAAAAAAACGAAACAAGAACAAAAAAAAAAAACTTTTGAAAGCTAATTTTAAACTGGAACTGATATCCTTTTGGGTACCCCATAAAGGACAAATCTAATTTTGTTGCACAAAGGACTCAGAAAGTTAAATACTGTAAACCACCGCTTACAAGCTCCCCCATTTATAAGCCCGCCCCCTCTCCAGTTATAGGCTCATCTACCTGTAAAAAAAATACATCTGATTATAAGCCCGGGCACCCTCTAGCTTTTATTTTTATGTTTATCTTGAAATAAATTCGATCTATTATGACGGTTTGAAACTTTATTTAAATGCAAAACTTGTTTTGATTAGCACTGCTATAACTTGTTTCGAAGCGCTTTTCTCTTTTCCTTTTCCAATCTCAAGCCGCCTCGGATATAAGCCCCTCGCTTTATAAGCCCCCTAATACATCTTACCAAGATATATAAGTACAGGGAAAATATATGCGGAAGTTAACGGTAAAAAAAATGTTAAAATCGCGATGAGTTGTTTGTTAGCATTTCAGTAACATATCCTTCTGCTGTCCCGTCACAGGTGGTCAGGCAGTTCAGATGGCCAAAGCAGGTTTACAGTCCATTTATCTGAGTGGCTGGCAGGTGGCAGCTGATAGTAACATGGCGGGGCAGACATACCCTGATCAGAGTTTGTATCCTGCTAACTCAGCTGCAAAGCTCGTTGAGCGAATCAACAACGCCTTTATCAGAGCAGATCAGATCGCACATATGGAGGGATCTGACAAACATATTGATTTCTTTTTGCCAATTGTTGCTGACTGTGAGGCTGGATTTGGGGGCCCGCTTAACGCCTTTGAAATCACCAAGGCTATGGTAAGTTTGTATTGTTCTCCACGTTATTTTCCAAAATTCCAAGCCGAATGAGATAAATTCTTACGATTAGTTTGCCCAAAAAAAGCACGTATAGATTATACAGATTGGCAACCCCCCTTGATTCGCTGCAGGACGTTTCTTTTCCAAAGCTACCCTTGTTTACGAACTGAAACTTACAGTGGAACCTCGATATAACGAACATCTATATAACGAAGTCCTTGGTATTACGAACGACTTGTTATATCGAGGTTCCACTGTCCGTTTTGCATTTGTCCTTCAGAATTACGGTTTTACTCACTTACTTAGTTATAAAACCATAGCAACGTTATTCCAGTTTCTATGGAAACTATAATACCAAAAAATTGCTAGAGTACAGTGTGTCAATAGAAAAATCTCTACTTTAATCCTTTGACTGAGTTCCTTTGTTTTTAAGACAAGAGTGACCCCGGCCATTTCTGATATCCCCCTTTTCTCTTATCACGGTATAACCTTCGAATTCTCTTCACTAGATTTCAGCTGGTGCCGCTGGCGTCCATTTTGAAGACCAACTCGCATCAGAAAAGAAATGTGGTCACATGGGAGGAAAAGTTCTTCTACCAACACAGCAGTTTATTAAAGTCCTCAATGCTGCTCGTCTGGCTGCTGACGTCATGGATGTTCCCACTGTTATTATTGGACGAACAGATGCTGAGTC